TGTAGGATAAATTTCTAAAGTGGAGTAAACTAAAAGATATAAGCATTATAAATTATGAAAGACATTGCAATTGTACTCTAAATGTAATAGTCCTGCCAACAACCATGGATATCTATTTTACATATTTTTACTAATATTGGATAATACGTCTTTAAAAATATTTTTCTAATTTGATAGTTATAAATATCTTATTTTTGTTTTAAATTTTACTTCTTTAAACAGTTGTTTTACTTTCAAATATTCATTGTGCTTCTAAATTTCTTCTTTTGTAAATTTCTTATTTTTTTTTTTTTAAGATTTATTTATTTATACAAGAAATGGGGCACAGGACAAAGGTGTGGGAGAGTGAAAGAATTCACCAGAGACAGAGCGGGGAGCAGAACAGGCAGATGACCGAAAACATTGCTGAGGGGAGCAGCAGGCCAGACAGGAGGGGTAAGTTGCACCATGTGGGTCTCTCCTTGGCTGGCCAGGAATCGAACTCATGCTGCAGAGGCTGCGGACAGCTTCACAGTGCTGCGCTCAACCCACTGCACCACCGGGGAGGCCCCTCATTGTTCTGTTATTACTATACAGAAGCTTTATACTCTATGTGGTAAAATTTACAATATCTTTTTTAAGGTTTTTGGAAGAACTTGGAAGTTGCTGCTCTCACCAAATAATTCCATATCAATCAAAGAATAAAATGTGAAAAACAAAACTTAGCAGTTCTAGAAGAAAACATGGGAGAATATTTTTGGTAACAGAAAATAAAATGACTGATAAACATACAAAAAGAAGTTCATGAGACAAATGAAAATAACAATTGTAATGTGATAGTCTTTGTATCTGTTAGATTGACAGAGATCAAAATTTGAATATGCTGTATTGATGAAGGTATGGGGAAACAGTGTGCTATCAAACTTTCCATCTGTACTGGGATGACAGCTACTTGTAACACTTCTCTACAGAGCAGGCAGCTTGATTTTGTCTGTCAAAATATATAATATGCCCACTCTCTAATCCTACAATTATACTTTTAGTTGTATTCCACAAGTACAAAAAGACCAGGTACAAGGAAATATTTCAATTTGTAAGAAATAGCAAAACTTTGGTTAGAACCTGTGTGTAGGGTAAGGTGAAAGGTATCAGGCTTTTCTGCCCTCCTGCCATTAGGATAGATGATGGAACCCTGCGGTCCTGAATGCATGCCTGATGGCGGGCACCTGGAGTAGGGTGTGGGCATAGGTAGATGGGATTCGACTGGGCTTTTAAGGGCGGCATCCCAGGGATGCCAGCAGAAGCCGAAAGGAAGCAAGAGCAACGAAGCCAAGAGAGAGAGAGAGAGAAAGCCAGAGAGCCCAGATAGAGTGAGGATTTGCTGGGGGCTGGGAGGACTGCCAGCCTCCCTGCCCCCCAGCACCCTTGCCTGCTGTGTACTGGGTAAATCCCAATAAAAGACCTGCAAAAACCACTGAGGACTCTGACTCCTCCTTTACCCGGTCTGCTGGATATTAGAAAATCTGTTCAGTGTCATTCCTGACCCTACACTGTGTCTATTAAAAAGGGAGGCGTTAAATAAATTACACAAGATGTACACAACAGAATACTATGCAGCCATTCAAAAGAAGTAGGACCATCTAAAGGATTTGATAACAGTTCAAAGAAACATTATGAAGATTAAAAAATCAATGGAAAAGGATAAGAATGTGTATGAGTATCTAAAAATATATGAGAACAGGTTTCTCAGCACCATTTTTTGAATGATACATCTTCCTCCTTTATCATATATTGTACCTGGTCAACTACTTTATCATCTATTGTACCTGATCTGGAGTCATGTCTGCTACTAATTATTTTGATAAGTTATTTTAATATCTTTTACCTTCTCATTTATTTATCTAGAACTTCCTGGTTATTTTGAATGGCTAGTCTTCCAAATTACTTTTTCAAAATTATTCTGTTAGATATTTGATTAGAATTGAACTAGATATATAGGACACTTGAAAAAGATATTATAACTGTATAATGTTTGTATCTTGGTATTTAATCTAAAAGTATCACTCCTTTATTCAAACATTTTTATGCCTTAGAAGTTTATAATATATATTTTTAAAGATTTATTTATGTATAGGGCCTTCCTGGTGGCACAAGGGGTTAAGACACAACCTATGAAGCTGTCCACAGCTTCTGCAACATGAGTTCAATCCCTGGCTGGCCAGGGAGCAACCCACATGGCACAGCAGACCTCTCCTGAGTCGCCCGCTGCTCCTCTCAGCAGTATAATTAGGTCAATTTGCCTGTTCTGTTCCCCACTCTGTCTCTGGTGAATCCTCTCACCCCCCACACCTCTGGCCCATACCCCAGCTCTTGTATGCATAAATAAATAAATCTTTAAAAATTTTTTTCAATTGCTCCTTTGTTTTCCTATCATTTGCAAATTAATGACAATCCTGACTTAACTTTAGTATTTAACTTTTTTTTTAAAGATTTATTTATTTATGCATACAAGAGCTGGGGTATAGGCCAGATTGAGGAGGGGAGGGGTGAGAGGACGCACAAGAGACAGAGTGGGGAGCAGAACAGAACAGGCAGATTTACTGAAACACACTGCTGAGGGGAGCAGAGGGGAGACAGGAGAGGTCTACTGTGCCATGTGGGTCAGCAACCTGGAGGGAACTCATGCTGCAGTGGCTGCCCATAGCTTCATAGCGCTGAGATTTAACTCCTTGCTCCACCAGGAGGCCCCCTGAATTATTATTATTATTATTATTATTGTCAACTATGAGTATTTCTATTATTGAGTTATGTGACTCAAAAATAGAAAAAAAATCTATTATTAAATATAATATTCAGTCCAATTTCTCTTCATTTCAACACATTATTTGTAAGGTAGTTCTGGGTTCTATTTTGTTAAGATTGTCTTTTGCTTTTACATTACATCCAAAAGAAGATTAACCTGTAGATTTCCCTTTTGTATATTCTTTATCAGGTTTTGACATCATAGTCATTTATTTTAAAACTAGCCTTTCAGTTCCTACAAAACAGGATTACTGGTGAAAAAGCCTTAAGGGCAACCACCTGAAATGGCCTCCAGGAGAAAAAAATTCACAACGTTGTGATTTGTCTACTTCTGTGAAAATTTCCAATACTGTGCTTTTTTATACCTTCTTTCTGCTATAAATTGTAAGTTATTCCAAACAGTATGGATACTGCTTTTCTTTCTAATAACTATATGATCATTCTTTCAATGGCAGAGGCGGTTGTTTTATAAAGATTTTGACTCTTCTTTATCACCCCATCCATGAACCAGAATATTTAAAAACTATTTCAGAAGTGGGGAAAAGGGTTTGGGAAAGGACTTAACCTTTGTCTTCAGTTTAACTGGGTTGGACTTCTGTTATTTACTTTTGCTACTCCATTCCTATATTCCTGCTGGTGCATTTTGGTTTAATGTTGTTTCTTTCAACTGTCTTTCCTCCTCTTTACTTCATTCTCTTCAAAATTGGTTCAAACTCCCCTGCTCCTTAATCTGACTAATCCAGCTCATTCCACATGCCACAGATTATCTCTAATCTGCTAGTGTTCTCAGTGCGGCTGCATATTCTAGCTATAATTGTTCTCAAATTTTTCACAAGAGGGCGGGTGTTCTTTCTTAGGCTCTTGCATTAGTTAGCTTCTTGAGCACAGGGACCTTATCTTAAAATTCTGCTGTGCATTTTCCATTTTGTTTAGCAATTTGAGTAGTCACATTCAATGCATATTTGCTAGGCATGTTTGACTGAAGACATCCATCATAGTTAATTCATTTTGTAAATGAGATAATGAAAAATCAAATGCTGGCCAAGGGTAAATCATTACTATTAATTCCCTCATTCATCATACCTGTTCAGCAGCCTCAGGGGCCAGGGGAACCTAGAATTGCATCTTTAACTTTGCCTCATTCCTCCATTTTGGAGCCAGCCATAAGTGATCCAAGACTACATTTATCCCCAGGTCCCCTTACCAGAGTGGGCCAGGTTACCTTAAACCTCTGAGGATAAACCCCAATTTTTGAAACTCAAATGACAAGATACCACTGATTCATGAAGTCAGCAAAACTTCCTTGTAAACTGTTGAAACCAAAATCTTTTAGCTTGCAGGAGAGGAACAGTTGCTAGAAGATTCATTTGCCAAGTTTATAGGAAAACGAGGGTTCTTTATTCCACGATGTTAAACTTTTTACTTAAATTTCTTTACCTTTAGGGTTAGCTTAACTTCAGAGGGAAATTATGGCAAGAGTTTATATATATTTTTTTTTTTTTTTCAAATATGAGAACTGGAGTTTTCCCGATGGCGTTTGGGGGTTGAAGTCCCGCCACCACACCTCTGAAGATCACTTTGCAACTGGGGACAAACTCAACCAAGTTCTTTTCGTGGACCCCACCATTTCCAAGTTGCTATATTGTTGCAGGGAGCTGGCACAGCCCCGCTCTTTCTCTCATTCCACTTCAGGCCCTTTCAAAGCCTAAATCCACCCGGTGAGAATAGGAGAACCACGCAGGAGACGAGAGAAGGCGAGGGGTGGGAGGGGCTACTTAGATAGGGGAAGAGGGAGCAGCCAGGCATTTTTTCGCTCTCCCTCGCACTCCTCCAGGCCATAAAGTTACTTCCAAAGTTGAAAGCGTGGGGCCGGTCGGTTGAGTTTTCAACTTGGTGTAGGAACAGGAGTCCACACCGCCGAGGCTTGGCACTTTGCTGCCCCGCCATCAACCTGAGCTTCTGGCTAGTCAGAAGAACGCGAAAAGCCAGGCCCAAGGCACCCGTTGTCATGGGAACCGGGGCGCTGGTCTCCGCGGCGACCTCGTCCGCGGGGCCTCACGCCCGGCGGACCAATGAGGCGGCAGGGGGCGCCGGATCGGAGCTCCGCCGTCCAGCCCGAGCGCAGGGAGGGTTGACTGACAGGGACGGGGGCGGGGCCGGCGCGGCCGCTCGAGGTGGAGCCAGAGTTGAGCTAGTAGCTCCGGCGGTGGCGCGGCGCGGAGCGGCGCGGCGCGGGTGACACACCATGAGCGCGGCCCCTGGAGACCAACGTGCTGGCGAGCAGCACTCCCTGACTCCCCGATCCGCCTCGGCCGCCTCGGTAGCGCTCGGAGCCCGTCGCAGGAGTTGAGCCGCCGGGCGCCCCGAGTTTTGGCGAGGAGCGCGCGGAGCGCTGACCGTGCGCTAGCTTTCGGGGGTCGGGCGGCCGGCGGGATCGGCGCCGGAGGGGCGTTTTCGTGGCGTGGAGGAGAAGGAGATGCTGCTCCTCTTCTCCCCCTCACCAGGCTCCTTCTCCAGCTCCTTTGGCCCACGCCCGCAGCCGCTTGGGGGAGAAGAGGTGGTGGCTCTCGGCGCCCGCGGCACCAGCCGGCGGCCCGCCCCGACGCCGTGTCCCTGCAGCCCCTGCCCAGCGCCCCAGTAGCAGGACCGGGTCTCGGGACCAGCGGGTAAGGACCTGAGGGGCCCTGGGCTCTCGAGTGGATGTGCAAGAAGTGCAGACACGAAGTTCAGTGCCCTCGCTCGCTGCCTCCTCTCTGCCTTTGCTCGGGTTCCTCGAGCCAGCTCCTGAGTTGCACTGGTGGAAGGAACTTCCCCTGGGTTGGGTGGTGGGGCTTTTTGGAAAGAGTGGGGGTGGGGTGATTGGCTTGGGGAAGGATGAGTTGAAGTTTCATTGTGCGTTGGGAAGATCCACCTCCGCAAAGGAAGCCCGGATTCTAGGGAATGAAACGCCAGGGGTGTGTATGAGATCGTGGGGGAACAGGGAGTGACATTGCTCCCATCGTGCGAGCACAGCTCTGCCCCGTGCGTGCAAAGGGAAGGACTCCCGCAGTCTGTTTCTAATTTCTGTAAATGACTGTGGGCATGGTGTGGTTAGAGCCCGCCCAGAAGAATGTGTATATGTAAGAGCTCGGAGGCGAGGGGGTGGGGTGGTGGGGAAGGGGGAATGAGGGGCCAGAGGGAGAGTCGCTGCCTGATGCAAGCTTTTTTATGGCCTTTCTTCTCCTTGCTCGAGTTAAAACTCTCCCCCTCCCCCCGTGGCTCTTTACCTGATACTGTAGTCAGAAAGCTGGAAAGCTAAGATTTGGTAACATCAAGAAAGTTCTTAAGTTTTTTTTTGTCTCTCGTGAAAATATTGGGTAGACGGGAATGGGGAGCAATATTACCACTAAAGTAGATTTTTACAGAGCTGCAGTTTTCATAAACCTTACACCTATATGATCGACACCGTGCACTTGTAACTAATCTCTTCCACAGCCTTGTGTCATTTTCGTTTAATTGCATCTTTGAAACAACAAACGCGGTGACTTCATAGGGAGCTGCCTGGAGCCGAGTTTACCTCTCAGAAAATGGGGCAATCGGGTTTGTTTTCAAGGCGGGACCTAAACAAAATGTAGGACACCTGATCTGTGGGATGAAGGGCGGTGGTAACTAATTAGCCAGATTTTAAAATTTATGTCTACAGAGTTTACTAAAGGATCGGGGGGGGGGGGGGGGGGGGGGAGGATCAAACATTGTTATTTTCCCAAATTCTTGGTAACTGGGTTGGCAAGCTCAAAGCGAAAACTTGCTAAATGCTCATTGGTTGCTTGCGGTGGTGCTGCAAATTATTTCTTTTTTAATGTCATTGGGAGCTTTTTTAACGATTATGCCCATGCATATATTGATTCAATAAATTCATAGAGGCAGATTGACTGCTTTATCATACAATCCTAAATGTATTATACTTTTTCATAATAGCGCTATGTTCTGGCTTTGATGTTCTAAGAAACTTTGTTGGGAATATGTGGGAGGGAGGTGTTAGGTTAGAAACTGGGAATAAAAATAGAAAAATATCTGGGTATTAATTTATAGTGTCTTTCATTTTTACAATCAGAATTATAACTTCCTTTGCAATTATGTTGGTTTGTCTTTTGAATTTATATTTGTCCCATCAACATTTTTAGTTATAAAGCCTACTTATTTTTTCAGAGGGTAATTACCTGTACCCCAACATATTTAGAAATAGCTTTTCATGTCATAAGTAACATACGCAAACCATTAAACCAGTGTCGGTTTAAGAGATTTTCACACTTTAAGAGGGGTCAAAAGTTATAAAATTTGTGGGTTTTTTTCTGACACATGCTTCTTCAATACAGGAAGTGACTGCGGACTGGTTAATAAGTTGTTTTGGACATCATAGATGTCAGTTTTAATGAATCGAATTTATATATGTATTATTAAGAAATATAGGCCAAAATCTTGCTTTATTGACTTCTAGTAGGTTAAGGATTGGATGGGTGAGCATTGTAGCTTCTCCTATATCATTGGGTATATAGTTTTCTACCTTATTTTATTGCCCAGTCCCACATGTATTGGAGAAAAAGACTACTGAGCTCAGCTTACTTCCTCATTTTTGACAGTATTTGTAATTTTTAATTAAACTACAAAACACTTTTTTAGTATAGATAAATTATTATTATCACTTGAAATTGAAAAGAAATACCCCAATCCAAGTCAGTGACTCTAGGAGTTACTTCTCTCAACTTATTCTCATTTTGGAATATGCTTTGGGAGAAGTCTATGCAATTAATTAGAATAGTGAGTTGAAACTATCTATCAAGCTTCTGATGTAACCAACTATGACTCATTTGCATTAATGTCACTTTACAAGGTAGGGGCCTGAAAAGGAGAAAAGGCTTTGTGTCTCAAGATAGAAGAATTACTCCTAATGGAAAGGGTGAGAATATGTTGCTTGAGTTCCCTGTTTTTGCTCTGAGAACCTTTCAATTTAAATTATAAAATAGGTTGAGCAGCTCAGAAAGTGGATTAACTGAAGATTGCTTTTAATGAGGGAATTAATAAATAAGACTTTCAAATGCCTAAGTTAAAGTTTCATATTCACTATAAATGTCACATCAAAACAGTGCTTCTAAACATCTTTGAGTCTAGGGGATAAAATGAAAACATTTTAAGACCCCTGTCTTAATCCTGCCTAATGTCAGGCACTATGAAAAAACATTCCGTTCTGTCCAAAGAATATATTATAGCTAGTAGTTTGTGAGGGTGTAGAAGACCAATTGTTTAATTTCTTAGAATAAAAAGGCTCCTAAATGGTCCAATGTAGAGGCTGGTAGAGAGTTGAGCCATAGACTAACATGTGTTTCCTGTGGTTTGCTATCAGATGCTTAGTAAATACAGGAATGATGACTGGTTCAAGCACCTGTTTAAGTGCTTGCTTTATTCTGTTCTCCACCACTGAATCCTGCTTTTTTCTTTTTGGTTCATTTTCTGTGAAAATACACTGAAATAGGGGCCTCCCTGGTGGCGCCAGGGGTTAAGAGATGGTACTGTGAAGCTATCCGCAGCCTCTGCATCTCTGGCCTGCACCCCAGCTCTTGTATGCATAAATAAATAAATCTTTAAAAAAGAGAAAATATACTGGAACAAACTTCCTCAGAGAGTATCCTGCAGTAGAATGGAGGGTGTACTGTAATATCAACAAATGTGTCCAAATCCTTAAATTTATTTTCTACATCTGTAAATTAGTAATACCTACCTTCTAGTGTATTTTGCAGACAAATAATATATGCAAAAAATGGCAGTTGCAAGTTAGTGCTTGATATTTACTTTATTTCCTTTCTAATCTATCACATAACTAGGTAATTAAAAAATTCAGTACTAACAAAAACTTAATAATTGTCTTCCTAACCTATTCTAGAATCTTTAGAATGTGAAACTCATATTTAACCTTCAAGGGTTTGGTCTTGAATATGGTTTGTCAAAAGGTTCTTTTTGCCTACCAGCAAAGAAATGTCTTTTGTGGCACACTACACTTATGCTTAATAAAGTTTCTTATTTTTTTTCTCGTTTAGTGGTACCCAACTCTGGCTGCATGTTGTAATCACCTGGGTAGCTTTTAAAACTATGCCCAGAGCTCAGCCAGACCAATTCAACCTTAATCTTTGGTGGGTGGAGTGAAACTCAGGTATGCATATTTTTGGAAGCTCCTTTAAGAAATTGCAACATGCCATTCACAGCACCATGGAAGGAGCTGGAAGGGATTGTGTGGAGTAAAATAAGCCAGAAGGAAAAAGAAAAGTATGAGATGGTTTCACTTATAGGAGGAATATAGGGGAACCAAATAAGGGATCAGGGCAAAAAAAAAACCAAAAAACAAAAATAAACAGACAACTATAAACCTGAGACATTCTGCAGGGGCAGAGGAGGGAGAAGGAACAAAACAAGGGACTATGGTGATGGTGCTCAGGTGAACTGGTGCTGGGAATTTTATGGAACTACACCTGAGAGGAGAAAGTGCACACTATACAAAATACACACATAAAATAATTAGAAAATAAATTGCAGCATAGAGCCATCCTAGTTCTTTCTGAAAAGTGAGTGTAGATAGTTTGTTTCCCGCTTTTATTTTGTGTTATGTATGTTCTTTTCTCTATATGAATCACAATTTTTTAGAAAAAAAATACATACTTGTGTCTAGCTACAGGACATTTTTTTACTATTTGAGTTAGAATTTAAGGTATAAATTTCAACCCCCATTTCCTCAGAGTTGCATTGTCCTGTATAGCAGTCCATAACCACATGTGGCTAAATTTAATTAAAATTAGATACAATATAAAATTCAGTTCCTCATTTCCAGTTGCCACATTTTTAATGGCAATTGTGGCTGTAGCTACTGTATTGCTCTCCAGTAGCCACTTGTGGCGATAGCTACTGTATTGCACAGCCCAGGTATAGAGTATATCATCTTAGAAGGTTCTGTGTTATCTAAAGGCTTGAAATTTGTATTCCAGTAATTTTCATCTTCTGAAATAGAATAATTTTGTAAGTCCTTCAAATTTATAATTTAAAAAATATTTTCGTAGTTTAAGTAAGGAGAAATACTACTTTTTTTTAATAAACGAGTTGTGGTAATTTTATTTTTTTAAAGATTTATTTATTTATACAAGCACTGGGTACAGTCAGAAGGGCGGGAGGGTGAGAGAATTCACCAGAGCCAGAGCTGGGAACAGAGCAGGCAGAAGGACCGAAGTACACTGCTGAGGGGAGCAGCAGGCGCCAGGAGAGGTCTGTGCGCCATGTGGGACCCTCTGCCGGTGGTTGGGGAGCAGCCGGGGATCGAACTGGCGCTGCAGAGGCTGCGGGCAGCTTCGCAACCCAGTGCTCAACCGCTGCGCCACCGGGGAGGCCCGAAATACTACATTTTTGATGTTTATATTAGCTCTTTCCTTGATCTTTTGTACAACTTGTGAGAGTTTCCTTTTTAAAATTAACTGAGAGAAGGAACTTAAGTTTCCTTGTGTTTATTATTTATATCAGATACTCTGAGTCTTACTGACAGCTTAATTACCCCTGTGTTCTACAACAATTTCAGGTCTGGAACTATAATGTACCATAATGTACCATAGTGGTTTGGCATGTGGGATTTTGGATCCCCCTGAGAAAGAAT